CAACCCACTCCAAGTCTGCCCATATGCTTTTATCTCCTTCTCACATGACCCCCTCCAAGTCACTCTTGCACTGATGACCAACTCGCCGCTTCCCATTCGGGTTCCACTAGAGCAACGGCTTGTCTAGTGATGTCACTTAATGGTTTCCTCAGAGTATGGCCAATCCATCTCCATTTCTGCCTGCCTATTTGTTTCACAATTGGTTCCTGACTGGTTCGCTCATTGCCAGAGATCCCTGTTGCTGATCTCTTCTGGCCGGCCATCTGATATTGAGCGGTATTGAGCGAAGACAACTGTTAATGAAGGTCTGAAGTTTGTTCGAGATGCTCTTTATGACGTGCAATGCAAGTCTCTGATCCGGATAGTGAGTGGCGCTGACTGACTTCACATTGGAGTTGAAAATCCGGATCTTATTTTCATTTTCATGCTGAGCAGTGCTGTTGACATCCACACAGACTTGAGAGTGATGAAAGCTTGTCTAAACTTTCCGATTCTTGCTTTGATATCCTAATCAGTTCCGCCTGTAGTTGAAGTGATGCTTCCCAGGTAGGTAAAGGAAGTTGCTTCTTTGAGGTTCCTCCCATTTATTCCGGCTCATTTTTGTCTGTTGTTGTTGGTGTTGCTGTAGGTGTTGGCGAGGAATCTTCATCACCTCTGTTTTTCTATGTTCACTTGAAGTCCTATCTTCTCTGGATGCTTCTTGTACCAACTGGTTGCTTTTCACTTGCATATCTTCTAGTTTGTGGGAAATCACACATATATCATCGGCGAAGTCCAGATCCTCCAAGTTCCCTTTTTGTGTGATTCCATCTGATGCCTGTTTTTACTCATCGCCCGCCGCTCTCTGTCGCATTATCCAATCTATTGCAATCAGAAAAATCATTGGCGATAGTAGACAGCCTTGCCTCACTGCCATCGTCACTTCGAAGGATTCCGTAATTTTCCCGTTGTGGATTACTTGGGATGCAGCATTGTCGTATAACTGTTGGATGAGATGTATAATTGTCGATGGGACCCCTTGGTAGTAGCGACGTAGTTGCCAAATCACATCTCGATCGACGCCGCGCTGTCGAAGGTCTTTTCAAAGTCGATGAAGTTGAGATAGAGAGGTGACTGCCATTCCAAGATTTGTTCAATGATGACCCGTAGTGTGGCGATTTGATCAGAGATTTGGTCAGAAGTACATCTCTAGCCGTTAGTAATTTCCTTGAAAAGTTTCCGTGAATAAGAAGGGGTTTTACGTGACAAAAATGTTTGGTTATATAAAACATTTAGTCTTTTCATTTCCAGTTTTATCAGAGTATTGGACACAAAAGCAAGAAGAGGAGCAGACGTTGGCTCAGACAACTATCTCGTACAAGGGACAATCCAAATCAAATTGAAAGCTTTCAGAGAAGGAGGAGCTGCAGATAGAACACAGGCCAAGTTCAACACTCAAAAACTGAAGGACCAAGGAACAAAGGACATCTTCATTGCAACCATAAAGGACAAAGCCGAGACACAAATCAACATTAGCGACGTGGTCGGCATCGAAAAGTACTGGAACAACTTGAAAACTGTGAGGAGTCAAACCTGGATGGAAGTTCTAGGAAGAAAGAAGAGACAGACAAACAGTAGCTCACTACGGTCACTTGGAAACTAAGAGAAGAGAGGAGAACAATGAAACAAAAGATTATCCAGTGCAACGACAAGCAACAAAAACAGGAGCTGAATGCAAGCTACAATACACTGAACAAAAGAGTAAAGAAGAGTGCCAGGGAAGACAAAAGAAAATATCATGAACCCATGGCAAGTGAAGCAGAACAAGCTGCAGACAAAGGAGACCTCGCCACACTCTACCAAACAACTAGGCACCTATCGGGCAAAAGTTCGACACAGATTGAGCCAGTAAAGGAAGACAATGGAAAGTCAATCACCAAAGAAGTGGAGCAAAGAAAGCACTGGGCTGAACACTTCAAAAGACTTCTAAATCGACCGCCACCTACAACGCACACAACAACACCAACAACGGAAGCAGAACTACCAGTGAGCATCGACTCCCCGACGAAATCATAAGTCCTAAATGCAATCAAGATGCTAAAATTTGGGAGAGCAGCAGGACCAGATGGAATCCCAGCAGAAGCATTGAAAATGGACCCAGTGACAACAGCGGAGTTGATGACACCTCTACTGGGGAAGGTTTGGAAAGAGGGCAAAGTACTTGAGGAATGGAAGAAAAGATACTTATTCAAACTAGCGAAGAAAGGAGACTTAAGTCAATGCAAAAACTGGCGCGGAATTATGCTCCTGTCCATTCCAAGCAAAGTACCAAGCCACATCATCCTGGAGAGAATCAAATACGCGAACCTGTTTGAAAAACTTCGACCGGAACAAGCTGGATTCAGGAGAAGCAAGTCACTTATTGATCAAATCGCTACACTACGGATCATCATTGAACAAATCTTGGAATGGCAGTCACCTCTCTATCTCAACTTCATCGACTTTGAAAAGACCTTCGACAGCGCGGCGTCGATCGAGATGTGATTTGGCAACTACGTCGCTACTACCAAGGGGTCCCATCGACAATTATACATCTCATCCAACAGTTATACGACAATGCTGCATCCCAAGTAATCCACAACGGGAAAATTACGGAATCCTTCGAAGTGACGATGGCAGTGAGGCAAGGCTGTCTACTATCGCCAATGATTTTTCTGATTGCAATAGATTGGATAATGCGACAGAGAGCGGCGGGCGATGAGTAAAAACAGGCATCAGATGGAATCACACAAAAAGGGAACTTGGAGGATCTGGACTTCGCCGATGATATATGTGTGATTTCCCACAAACTAGAAGATATGCAAGTGAAAAGCAACCAGTTGGTACAAGAAGCATCCAGAGAAGATAGGACTTCAAGTGAACATAGAAAAACAGAGGTGATGAAGATTCCTCGCCAACACCTACAGCAACACCAACAACAACAGACAAAAATGAGCCGGAATAAATGGGAGGAACCTCAAAGAAGCAACTTCCTTTACCTACCTGGGAAGCATCACTTCAACTACAGGCGGAACTGATTAGGATATCAAAGCAAGAATCGGAAAGTTTAGACAAGCTTTCATCACTCTCAAGTCTGTGTGGATGTCAACAGCACTGCTCAGCATGAAAATGAAAATAAGATCCGGATTTTCAACTCCAATGTGAAGTCAGTCAGCGCCACTCACTATCCGGATCAGAGACTTGCATTGCACGTCATAAAGAGCATCTCGAACAAACTTCAGACCTTCATTAACAGTTGTCTTCGCTCAATACCGCTCAATATCAGATGGCCGGCCAGAAGAGATCAGCAACAGGGATCTCTGGCAATGAGCGAACCAGTCAGGAACCAATTGTGAAACAAATAGGCAGGCAGAAATGGAGATGGATTGGCCATACTCTGAGGAAACCATTAAGTGACATCACTAGACAAGCCGTTGCTCTAGTGGAACCCGAATGGGAAGCGGCGAGTTGGTCATCAGTGCAAGAGTGACTTGGAGGGGGTCATGTGAGAAGGAGATAAAAGCATATGGGCAGACTTGGAGTGGGTTGGAACAGTTGGCAGAAAACAGAAGGCAATGTAGATGCGCAGCTGAAGGCCTATGTTACTCTAAGAATTAAAGGATATTATAATAATAATAACAATATACAGTAAATGAAGTCATTAGAGAATGAGAAGCAGACGTTATTTGAAAAAGACCATTTGGAGTGAATAAAAGTTGCAACGCCATCACCATTTTTCTAAATAAAACATTGATGGTCTTGTCGAAATAAAATAAAGTCCTTCAGTGAGATGAGATTGTCATCATACAGTTCATGTAACCACGTTTCTTGTAATGTGATTACGGCAGTATTATGATAAGTGTCAGTGGACAAAGTGTGCTTACACACACTGAATCCGATAGATACTTCTCACATAACCAAAACGTATTTCAAATATCGTCACAACACTGTTTCATTATAACGGTATTTGAAAACGGCCATCGTCATTGAGAAATATAGCCAGGCGAAATCATTCCAGTAAATCTCTCTCAGTCTAACTGAGTGATGAGAGCAGATTGATAAACACTGGAAATCACGATACTACTATCAAAACTGACATCAAACAATCATAAGTAGTAGTTTTCACTATTTCTGTGTAGAAATAGTATTAGTATAATAAAACTTATCTTCTCTCGTCGTTGTAATTTGCACATCGGAATGTGAAGATAATGAGCACCTGTGACCTTGAGAGGGATCGCAGTGACAGTTGAGAAATCATACGAGAAAAATAAAATTAGAAGAGTAATAATATTTATAATAATTATAATAGTAATAATAATAATGATAGGAATGAAAACAACTCCAACTAATTGTCATGCCACTAACTAGAAATTTACATTAATCTGTAATATGAAGTAAGTTTAGCGTGAACAGAAGAATGAAGAGTGGAAAATAGAAGGTTCAAGATTCTGAGAGTACTCTTACTGGACGCAAAATACCTCTATTTATTAGGTTCCAATTTAGTGGTGAGTCATCAAGTGAGAACTGATTTCAGAGTCAGCCCCTTCCGTGGATTGACAAAGGACAAACAAAAACAATCCGTAGCTCAACCTAGTCATACTTCCTTGATAGTGGTCATTTATTGGCGAAAACAAGAGCTTTCACAGTAATTCACCGTATCCCACCGAAGATTCCCAATAGACGTTGTCAATGGAGTTGAAGATTGAACGATCAATTCTTGGTTGTTTGCTCAAAATCAACTTCCCCGATTTTCGCGGAGGCATCAATACGACAGTCATGGTCTCATCGGTCGCTGTTCAGAAAGAAGAGTGAAACATCGTCAGAAACCTTAGTTCGCTTATTCCTTTTATATGTTGGTGTAACAATAAACAAATCTAAAGCGGCAGATCAGTGTTTTGGTTTTTGCGTCCGTTATAACTAAGCGTTTCTGAGAAATCTTCGAAGAACAGCGTGGGCCCGAGCGTAGCGAGAGCTGGGCATTAACGGTTTATGAGACATGATTGACAGTTTCTGACGATGGAAACAGATCTGGCGGATTCAAACAGTTGGTGAAAGTTTGGATAGTCACCGTTCATCTTTCCTGGTGCCGGTCAAGTCCTCTTTGAACAAGCAATATCTGGAACTTTCTTGGAATTGGGTCAAGTTCAACAATGCCTGGGTCAAAGAAGGGACAGAGTGTCTTGGATGCAAACAGGAAAGTAAGTCATGGTGACTTGTCTGTTACTTGTAACGATGTGTCTGATGTTAAGCATGACATGGTTGATGTTATTGTTTCGCCGTTCAGGGATAATAGGAACATCAAACTCCCTAGATTTGAACCACGGTGTTTTGATGGAAACCCGGCCGATTATTTACAATTTGTAAAGGAGTTTGAGATCATGTTGAGTGGTATTTTATTAAATGATGAATTGAAGTTAATGTATTTGATGAGATATTGCACTGGAGATGCTGCAAGAGCTATACAGTGCTGTACGTTTATGAAGCCAAAAGAGGGCTACTACGAGGCTCTGAGCATATTACGTCAAAGGTTTGGAAGACCTTCGATGATTGCAGGGAAATTATTCGAGGCTGTTAAGGGTAATGGTGGTCAATTACAGGATGACTCCCAGGCACTCACTGAGTTTTTGATAATTTGCTAATTTACAAGAATGGAATGATTTCGATGAATCGCATGAGTGACCTCAACTCGTGTTTTATACTAGAAGTAATAGCAAGACGTCTACCTACTCGACTGCAAAGGAAGTGGGTGAAGATGAGCTCCCGTATGGAGGATGAGGGTATCGAGCCAAAGTTTGATGATATCCTGAAACTGGTAAATACTAGTGTCAATGAATCTATGAGCAAGTTTTCCAGTCTGTTAGATCTCACCCCTAGAATAGAGCAGTCTGAGGGTAAAACGCACTCATTGATGACGAATAAGCCTCAGAGAGGTGGATATCGAGAAGACTCCATGATGTCTAGTAATGCATATAGACCTAGTGAGTGTAACAGGTTTCGTAGTACATCCTCAACAGATAAGTTACAAGATGCAAGACAAACACGGTTTTGTTGTACACGTGTGCAAGAGGTGCATACAGAAGTGAACTGTGAACCAGTGAGCAAGTTCAGTGATAAGCTAAATGTAAACTCCAGGTCTGACTCCGAATTGTGTGACGATAACGTTGTTGTGAAGAAGTCTGTAGTTGCGACTGGTAAGCCGTTGCTGAATAGAGTGTCACAGAATAGAGTTACTGCTTCAGAGTGGAGTTCTGACTCCAAAAGTTTACAAGGTATTACTAGTCAGAGTGAAGTTATAAAACCTTTTATGATTTGCGAGGAGGAACCAAAATTGTCTACTTCTGTTATTAAAGAGTTTGAAAATGATGAAGTTGACGGTAAAGTGAATATTCGTGATAATGATCATGATACTTCACAGTTGTCTTTGGTTGATCATTATGAGATGAGGGATATGCCTACTACTGCTAAGTTAAATAAAGGTTCTGTACAACTACAACGTGAAGTAGAATTGAACGCAGATGCAGTTCCAAAAGGTGTGCATACTTGTGAGACAGTCAGTGTAATTGATCAGCGTGTAGCCCACCTATCATCAGATGATAGTGCTAAACCCGAACTAGTAGTGAAAGACAGCAGTGGTGGTAATCTTGCAGTTGGACAACTATCTGAGAGCCGAACAAGAACAGCTTCTGATCCACCACTAAGTTCATCACCTTGTGTCACTCAGTCATCGTTGGTGCTGTCATCCACAATGAAACAGACACCCATCAACTCAAGTATCTTGTGCAATGACTATGCTAGTATCAGTTCGTTTGAAAGGACGAATATCAATGGTCAGTTTAGTGTGGATAAGCCAAGTGTAAACGAGAGAGTAATTGTTAAATTGACTTGCACGAATAAAGGCATTTCTTGTTTCAAGTTACTATTTGAATGTTATTATCTTTGGTGTAAATTACTCTGTTTCTATACTTGGTTGATGAGATATGTCGTGTGTTTGTTGGTCATCTATATTCTACGATACAATGACATGGGCGTGTTACCGTTCAGATTTGAGGATATAGCTGATAGAAGGAAGTTAGCAAATGAACTCTGCGACGATTTTCCAACCTAGGGCGTCAACCTGAGAAGGGCTGTAGGCGTACTGGTGTAAGTCCTACAATTCTTCAAAGGGTAGTGCATCAATGAGCAGTCCAATGTGCTCGGTGTGTGATTTTGTACATATGTTCATATTGCATATACTGAATTGATATCATCTTTCATCTAGCTGTTGGTAATTCTGTTTGTGTCCGGACGACTTCCACTTGGATCATCAACCTGAGAAGGAATGTAGGCGTACTGCTGTAAGTCCTACAGTTCTTCAAGGGTAGTTTGCCGTGCCAGAATGCACAACATTTGATGTGTTGATTTAACTTATGTTTGTGTTAAATAATTGTGTGAGTTCCAGTTGATGTAATTGTTGGTTAATCTTGTTTGTGTCCGTACATTCCACAAATTACAATCGTCAACCTGAGAAGGGTTGTAGGCGTACTGGTGTAAGTCCTGCAATTCTTCAAAGGAATTCCACCAAGAGATGATCGGCGAGGTTGTTTGTACTATTTGTATATACGTGTGGTGTGTCATATCAATTGGTGTATTTTGGATCCATTGTGTTTACTTGTTGTTTTCGTGCCTTGTTGTTATTGCGTAATTTTGTTAAAATTTTCGTCGTGATTATTTCTGAAGTTGTTTCGAGTCTTCTACATCCATGAATGAATTGATTGATGTTAAAGGCAGCAGATGGGTCGTATACGCCGGGGAGGCTATTTCTGAGAATGAAATGCACACGGAGATAATTGTTAGCTGCGGTCCGACACGCCGGGGAGAAAGAGTGTAAACGACTGAGGCTCGCATGCGTCACCGCTACTAGAACTGAGGCAGAACGAGTGACAAGCGATTTCAGTGATAATTGGTAGTGAGTAGATAAGAGGATGTGTGAAGAGTATCATGAGTTGGTGCTATGGTCACGTTGCATTCTGCAAGAGTCATTCTAGCAAGTGGCGATTGTGTTGCAAGATGTCAAGAGGAGGTCTCTGTCTGGAGGCGCAGGTCGTCAGCGATGTGTGAGATTGTGCTGTGGGTATGCTTGTGGTGTGTTGGCTTTTCTGTTTGTTTTCCATTTCAGCTCTGTCCGTGTGACCCAGGTTCTCGCAATGGCATCCAAGTCAACGTGCATTGATCGTGAAGGAAAAAAGGGTTGGATCCCTTTTTTGCCGGGGAGTGTCAATGGAGTTGAAGATTGAACGATCAATTCTTGGTTGTTTGCTCAAAATCAACTTCCCCGATTTTCGCGGAGGCATCAATACGACAGTCATGGTCTCATCGGTCGCTGTTCAGAAAGAAGAGTGAAACATCGTCAGAAACCTTAGTTCGCTTATTCCTTTTATATGTTGGTGTAACAATAAACAAATCTAAAGCGGCAGATCAGTGTTTTGGTTTTTGCGTCCGTTATAACTAAGCGTTTCTGAGAAATCTTCGAAGAACAGCGTGGGCCCGAGCGTAGCGAGAGCTGGGCATTAACGGTTTATGAGACGTGATTGACAGACGTCGTTTGCGTTCACTGCACACAGCTGGGGGCGATAAGCATTCGAACAACTATGAAGCTTAATCTATGCATTCAAAAGAAGTTCGTACAGCCATTATCCCTCACTTGGTCTAAAAGGACATAACCAACAGATGACTTCACCACCACCCCTTACTTATATTTTCAACCCCTCTCCTAACATGCCATAATATTATCACATCTGCACTGAAAACGCAATTCATTCACTTCCCTCACAATCTAGCATTACTTAATCGGTTCATTTGTTTCTACTAGGCTTTATCGACTACTTCTTTCTGATCATTTGTTTATTGATTCATGGTGTTTTACATTATTCGTGTTTTGACAGACTGATTCACTTTTCGGGGTTTTATTCATAAAGCCATTATAGTTATGACCACGACAAACGATCTCTTGAAAGTCGCCCTCTTTATCACCACAAGAATTTGCCTCTTGAACATGGTCATCTAAATTCCGTGTTTAGTAATTGTAGTTTCAAATTAATTTTGGAAAGCACAAAATCATACAGACCCTGAATACACTTGTAAAGTGAGACTCTACTGCTGTATATCTCTTTCGACATATCAGAATTTTCAAGTATTAGAATTCACATAGAAATATCAAGACAAATTTACACTCTGCGTTAATTATCTCAGAGTATAATCAAAAATCGTTTCTCAGAAAAACGGCAAATATTATAACTATAATTGTTCATATTTTTCTTATGGGATGCGATTGAAGAATAGAGTTTCAGCGACGCACCGCAATACAACTACATCAACACAATCCACGACACCTTCAAATCGTCTGATTTCAACTCGAAGAATGTTTCAAGGGTTCATTTTGAATTACTACATATGAAGATCTCTGTCTAGAAAGAAGATCCACATCTATCTAAATGGTCATTATGGTGATGTGCTCACGTAGGACCTCCTTAGTTCACACTGAAGATGTCAATTTCACTAGAATTAATTGCAGTGTCTATCTGGTGTACCTGTATCCCCTAGCATATATACCACCGATAGCACTGATCATTTTCTGACACAGCTAATTCTCCTCGAAGGGCAACAGTGTCCAGTAAAATTCCTCAGAGGTGTCTACATTCAGATTTGTGAAGGTATGAGTGAAAGTCTTTACGTATAATGTCAGTGACATCATTTGCGGATGTGTGAAACTCGAAAGATTTTGAGGAGTGATCACGGAAGAATAATGATGAGAGTTTGATGCATTCAGGAGTTGATAAATGTTTAATGCGTCTTCACCACTGTGAATGATTTTCACATTAACGCTAACAGTGCGAAGCAAACGGTATTCAGCGTCTCCACTACCCAAACTTGACAGTCTACACCATCTCACGTGGCTGAAAACAACATTTAAGGGACTCGCTAAATCAAGACACATTGTGATTTGACTGATCCCTACTCTTTTTCAACCTAATTCGATATCAGCCAATACTAAATAATAGAGGAGGAATGCAATGGCATATTAAAGGTAAGATATGATGCAGTGATTTCACTCTATTCAGCTTAACAACCTCATCCACTGGTTTCGTGTCACTACACCACATCTGCAAGGAACATCAGAGAGAATCTCTGCGCACTAGGCATGTTCTTCGATAAACAACTGGAAGTGACGTCTTCACGAGAGATGACGTGGATTGGTAAACATCTCATCGCACTTTCTCTTCCCGTACTACTATTTCATCAGCATTCAGTCAATTTGGGCGTCTTGAAATTTGAAAATGAGTTGAGGATTACAGTGTTCTGAACACCTGTATCAGTCCTTTGCTTCAATAGTGGAGTTACTGGAATCCCCAACGGAAGTCACATCTACTCATTTCATCTTTGATGGACAATCACGTCATCCGTGTGTAGTGCACATTGTACCTTTGAACTTTTGTTTAAACTCGCTCACCCATGGTGATACACTTGTTATCTTTTGAGTTGTGAGTCTTCCGTACGTTCATTGGTTCGCTCTCTTGTTGTGCTCTTTTTCTGCACACTCTCCGAGCCTAGCTCCAGCAACGTCTGCAGATAAGTTGTACAGTCACTTTATTTATTAAATCTGTTATTCAG